GGGGGGGGGGGGGGGGGGGGGGGGGGGGGGGGGGGGGGGGGGGGGGGGGGGGGGGGGGGGGGGGGGGGGGGGGGGGGGGGGGGGGGGGGGGGGGGGGGGGGGGGGGGGGGGGGGGGGGGGGGGGGGGGGGGGGGGGGGGGGGGGGGGGGGGGGGGGGGGGGGGGGGGGGGGGGGGGGGGGGGGGGGGGGGGGGGGGGGGGGGGGGGGGGGGGGGGGGGGGGGGGGGGGGGGGGGGGGGGGGGGGGGGGGGGGGGGGGGGGGGGGGGGGGGGGGGGGGGGGGGGGGGGGGGGGGGGGGGGGGGGGGGGGGGGGGGGGGGGGGGGGGGGGGGGGGGGGGGGTGGGGGGGGGGGGGGGGGGGGGGGGGGGGGGGGGGGGGGGGGGGGGGGGGGGGGGGGGGGGGGGGGGGGGGGGGGGGGGGGGGGGGGGGGGGGGGGGGGGGGGGGGGTGGGGGGGGGGGGGGGGGGGGGGGGGGGGGGGGGGGGGGGGGGGGGGGGGGGGGGGGGGGGGGGGGGGGGGGGGGGGGGGGGGGGGGGGGGGGGGGGGGGGGGTGGGGGGGGGGGGGGGGGGGGGGGGGGGGGGGGGGGGGGGGGGGGGGGGGGGGGGGGGGGGGGGGGGGGGGGGGGGGGGGGGGGGGGGGGGGGGGGGGGGGGGGGGGGGGGGGGGGGGGGGGGGGGTGGGGGGGGGGGGGGGGGGGGGGGGGGGGGGGGGGGGGGGGGGGGGGGGGGGGGGGGGGGGGGGGGGGGGGGGGGGTGGGGGGGGGGGGGGGGGGGGGGGGGGGGGGGGGGGGGGGGGGGGGGGGGGGGGGGGGGGGGGGGGGGGGGGGGGGGGGGGGGGGGGGGGGGGGGGGGGGGGGGGGGGGGGGGGGGGGGGGGGGGGGGGGGGGGGGGGGGGGGGGGGGGTGGGGGGGGGGGGGGGGGGGGGGGGGGGGGGGGGGGGGGGGGGGGGGGGGGGGGGGGGGGGGGGGGGGGGGGGGTGGGGGGGGGGGGGGGGGGGGGGGGGGGGGGGGGGGGGGGGGGGGGGGGGGGGGGGGGGGGGGGGGGGGGGGGGGGGGGGGGGGGGGGGGGGGGGGGGGGGGGGGGGGGGGGGGGGGGGGGGGGGGGGGGGGGGGGGGGGGGGGGGGGGGGGGGGGGGGGGGGGGGGGGGGGGGGGGGGGGGGGGGGGGGGGGGGGGGGGGGGGGGGGGGGGGGGGGGGGGGGGGGGGGGGGGGGGGGGGGGGGGGGGGGGGGGGGGGGGGGGGGGGGGGGGGGGGGGGGGGGGGGGGGGGGGGGGGTGGGGGGGGGGGGGGGGGGGGGGGGGGGGGGGGGGGGGGGGGGGGGGGGGGGGGGGGGGGGGGGGGGGGGGGGGGGGGGGGGGGGGGGGGGGGGGGGGGGGGGGGGGGGGGGGGGGGGGGGGGGGGGGGGGGGGGGGGGGGGGGGGGGGGGGGGGGGGGGGGGGGGGGGGGGGGGGGGGGGGGGGGGGGGGGGGGGGGGGGGGGGGGGGGGGGGGGGGGGGGGGGGGGGGGGGGGGGGGGGGGGGGGGGGGGGGGGGGGGGGGGGGGGGGGGGGGGGGGGGGGGGGGGGGGGGGGGGGGGGGGGGGGGGGGGGGGGGGGGGGGGGGGGGGGGGGGGGGGGGGGGGGGGGGGGGGGGGGGGGGGGGGGGGGGGGGGGGGGGGGGGGGGGGGGGGGGGGGGGGGGGGGGGGGGGGGGGGGGGGGGGGGGGGGGGGGGGGGGGGGGGGGGGGGGGGGGGGGGGGGGGGGGGGGGGGGGGGGGGGGGGGGGTGGGGGGGGGGGGGGGGGGGGGGGGGGGGGGGGGGGGGGGGGGGGGGGGGGGGGGGGGGGGGGGGGGTGGGGGGGGGGGGGGGGGGGGGGGGGGGGGGGGGGGGGGGGGGGGGGGGGGGGGGGGGGGGGGGGGGGGGGGGGGGGGGGGGGGGGGGGGGGGGGGGGGGGGGGGGGGGGGGGGGGGGGGGGGGGGGGGGGGGGGGGGGGGGGGGGGGGGGGGGGGGGGGGGGGGGGGGGGGGGGGGGGGGGGGGGGGGGGGGGGGGGGGGGGGGGGGGGGGGGGGGGGGGGGGGGGGGGGGGGGGGGGGGGGGGGGGGGGGGGGGGGGGGGGGGGGGGGGGGGGGGGGGGGGGGGGGGGGGGGGGGGGGGGGGGGGGGGGGGGGGGGGGGGGGGGGGGGGGGGGGGGGGGGGGGGGGGGGGGGGGGGGGGGGGGGGGGGGGTGGGGGGGGGGGGGGGGGGGGGGGGGGGGGGGGGGGGGGGGGGGGGGGGGGGGGGGGGGGGGGGGGGGGGGGGGGGGGGGGGGGGGGGGGGGGGGGGGGGGGGGGGGGGGGGGGGGGGGGGGGGGGGGGGGGGGGGGGGGGGGGGGGGGGGGGGGGGGGGGGGGGGGGGGGGGGGGGGGGGGGGGGGGGGGGGGGGGGGGGGGGGGGGGGGGGGGGGGGGGGGGGGGGGGGGGGGGGGGGGGGGGGGTGGGGGGGGGGGGGGGGGGGGGGGGGGTGGGGGGGGGGGGGGGGGGGGGGGGGGGG